ATGGCTAGTTTGATTCATTTTTTTTTTTAAATTATTCTCTAGGGTCTGGGAGATTGCGAGACTAAATCGCTTAAAGCGGCAATCCGGGGTACAATAGGTCTTCAGCAACCCATGCTTGTCGTAAACGGCGACTATGTTTGTCGTAAGAGGCGACTCACGAGATCGGGTGGTCAGCCTCGCTGACTTGGTTGATGCATGTCATCGTAGCTCAATTGCCTGGATTGATGCTCATGAGGTCAATCACTGGATTGTCTGGTCCAGGCTCGATTATTTACAGACCGCCGTCATATACCTGGAATATTGCTGAGTGCGACGTTAAACAACAAACCAAACCAAACCTAACGAATCAAGCGGCCATCAAGTGGTTTACTATCATAATATTAGCTATCGTATTCATGCCGAATGTATCACTAAATCACGTAACATATATTTCAGGATATACCACATGCGCTGTCCTGACCGGCTAGGTCAGCGCACCTAGCGGGTTACAAAGGAAGATAAATTGAAAAAGGTCGCCCATTGCTTATGTTGACTCTAAACCAAAAAAAAAATATCTTTTTCATACAGTTTTGCTCTTTAGATTTCTGTTGGTAATTAATTCAACTTCTACCCAAAATGCTTTGGCATGTTCAGAATCAAAATGCTAAATGCATATACTACAATAAAACTACTGCTGTACATGAACCAGGAAATGACACCCTTACTTCCTACCCTCCTCTGTTGACAAGTTGTGTTGGGGGCGGCCTACAACAACTAGTATTACAGATCACTAGTCACAGAACAAGGGGTGCGTAAGTTTCCATCAATACCCATATCTACTTGTAATGTTTGATAAGGCAAGATTGCCAGGGAAAGTTTGTGTGCCTTATTGTTCCGTTCATATAGGGCAGAACACGTTGCACTGTTTCCAAATAGTTATATTCACTCCTGTATTCATATCACAGGACACTTTATAGCACGGCCTCTGATGAAGAAACGCAATAACCCATTGTGCATGGTTTGTGTTGCCAGTAGGCATTCGGAGCCTAGATGCTGATCAGATAGATTGCCTGTAGATTGATGTTTGACTCAGGACAGGATGGGTCACTGTGTGTCGTACGACCAGTAACTGTTCTTGTGGTGATACGTATATCACTCAAGTTTTAGTTTTAGTTTTTATAGTTGCATTTTTCATTCGGGTACAGAAGTAAATGTCTTAACAGGCTGTCCATTATATGAAGTTTTGTTGTTGTTTTTAACAGAAAATTGAGTTCTTGAATGTTTAATCTATCGTTAGTCTATATTCACTACAAGCTGATTCTTTGTCATCATTTTAAATAATTAAATAATGCATATACAGATACAATATACTTTCACTGTTAGATCTACTAATCTAATCATTCTTTCATTCCGTAAATCCTAGATATAAATTTGTATTGAAACTCTAGCAGTTTGACATCGTTAATACATAATCTATATTGTACAAAAGACATTGCCAATTAACTGTTTGGTCAAGTAGGTAATCCCATTTTTCAAGAACTGTGGCCAAGTTGTTCGTACTAATTTAATTATTTATCATAACAGATTCATGATCCTTTTGTTCTTGAAAATATATTTACCCCGGCCCTGTTTATGCTTTGTCATGTTCTGTGACTTTGCTGATAGTGTGTGACCTGGTCCAATCTCGATTAAATACAGGTCGATGTGTTATAGCTGAAATATTGCTGACTGCGGCCTTAATTTAACAGGCACTGTATCCAAATCGTATAGTCACGAACACTGCCACTGTCATATCTGCCCAGCATCACGAACAATACAGCAGAATTTCATAGAAGGCACTAGGAAATCGACAGGCAGGCATTGTTTGCTCGCTAAGCAGCCATGTGTTTATACAAAATCTCACCACGTATACATATACTATTACAAATGGCGAAATCCTGAGCAGCACACGTGATATTTCTGAGTAACAGTAGATTATACATTTAAAGACGCAATTAAAAGTCCAGATAATAAAAAGCATACAAACTGATTGAAATACATCCTTCTTTAGTATCTGTAACCCTCACAACGCCAGATCAGGTGACCCTAGTTTTAAAAAAGACAGAAAATGTGTCTTGTACCGTCGTCTACTAAGATACAAAATTGCCCAACAACGCATCCTTATTGCACACACCCAAATACTGAATATGTTAGGAGATTGCACTATGGGGAGCTGGAAGGATGGTCGCTGGTGAATGTTCAAGGTAGGTCTTATGTACATGTATGTGTGTTATCAGTAAGTTGGAGGGAGCTGTTTTTGTGTTGTTATGTAAGCATAGCGGTTATATCTCAGATTTACAAGTTGAAGGTGTGTGAAAAGTTGTACTGGGAAGTTGCCTCTTTGAAGGGCCCCAATCGTTCTACTAAATAGCGCTAACCGCCGTCACTTCCGTGTTGTTTTATAGCAGTGAAAATGTTTTCAGTAATATTCAAGTCTGAACAATGAATTTGTATTTTATATTGGTTATGCAGTATAACAGAATTCGACAACAGCGTTATGGCTGTGCATAAACTTCATGCTTTCAAAAACAAAACTTAATTCTTATTTCCTAACTTAAGTGGTGTGTGGGAGGGGTCGGAGCATATCTTCAGATTATAAGGTTCAGGGGTGTATTGTGTATTAATTATACATCCAATTCATCTCTGGATTGTCTGGTCCAGACTTGATTATTTACAGACCGCCGTCATATAGCTGGAATATTGCTGAGTGCGGCGTTAAACAACAAACCAACCAACCAATTCATCTCCGGCTACAGTTGCCCCAATCACTTTGACGACTGTGTAGCCACCGAGGTGTACCACACGTTTTAACCCTACAACTACCGCATGTCCTGTCTCGCAATTAACATGGGATGGGGATCTACATCCATGATGACGTTGACTTTGTCCACAATACCCCACTTGTGTTGTGAACATCCAGCTGATCAGAGTTGGATGGTTACAATGTTTGGTTGATAGTGTTTTATCGTGGATACTTGCTGGCGCTATCAATTTCGGGACCACCGTCGAATTTTAGCTTTGTTCAGATGCGGATCTTTACATCTTGCTTTTAAATTATATGTCCATTTTTGGACATACACAGCTTATGTAACCCGGGACACATAAACTATTTTTCTCTCTTTTCTCTCGCTATGAACCACCGGCGTGTCTGAATATTCACAAAATGTGTAATGGCGCTGAATGCGGCGTAACATAGTATTAACTCACACACTTTGTCTAAGAACTACCAAGACACATTTGCCACAACGTAAATACGAACATTTCAATTATTTCTTAACACTGTCTGGTCCGAGCTGTTTATAATACTGCGGTTAACCACATAACATGTCATCATACATAGATCATTTTCAAACTTCCAAGACATTCAAAATAAAGTAGCTAGATCACATGTATGATTTATCTCGGTTTCAAAAACAAATACCCTTCGATAACAATTGTATTTTCACCCTAAAAGAGTTAACGTTTTCTGGCTCAAATGCAGATTCGGTAGGGGTTGCACTGAAATATGAGGACAGAGTATATATCCCCTGTCACCAGCATGTCCTGGGGTCGGTGCCGTGACACGTGAAGACAGTGCAGTAGCCGCAGGGCCAGGGTTATTGACAAGTGATGTATATTGCAGCCTATGACAGCTGATAGCTGATTATTGTTCTGGTAAGTAGCACAACTTACTTCCTGATGGACAGATTGATTCTAATGAGTTGGTGGGAAATAAATGCACAACATGTCAGGTAATGTGATTATGTCTCTTGATTATTAGGTTTTCCAGGAATACGCCATATCCTTGTGAATAAAAAAATTCCGCTGCCGAGATCGCAGTGAGAGTTGTTACGGCTGTGGCATCACAATAGCCCATTCTACCCCGATATGTACAGCGAGAAAATATACAGAAATCTTTATCAAAAAGCGTTTTAACAAATATCTACATTAAAAAAAACTACTGCTGTACATGAACCAGGAAATGACACCCTTACTTCCTACCCTTCTCTGTTGACAAGTTGTGTTGGGGGCGGCCTACAACAACTAGTATTACAGATCACTAGTCACAGAACAAGGGGTGCGTAAGTTTCCATCAATACCCATATCTACTTGTAATGTTTGATAAGGCAAGATTGCCAGGGAAAGTTTGTGTGCCTTATTGTTCCGTTCATATAGGGCAGAACACGTTGCACTGTTTCCAAATAGTTATATTCACTCCTGTATTCATATCACAGGACACTTTATAGCACGGCCTCTGATGAAGAAACGCAGTAACCCTTTGTGCATGGTTTGTGTTGCCAGTAGGCATTCGGAGCCTAGATGCTGATCAGATAGATTGCCTGTAGATTGATGTTTGACTCAGGACAGGATGGGTCACTGTGTGTCGTACGACCAGTAACTGTTCTTGTGGTGATACGTATATCACTCAAGTTTTAGTTTTAGTTTTTATAGTTGCATTTTTCATTCGGGTACAGAAGTAAATGTCTTAACAGGCTGTCCATTATATGAAGTTTTGTTGTTGTTTTAAACAGAAAATTGAGTTCTTGAATGTTTAATCTATCGTTAGTCTATATTCACTACAAGCTGATTCTTTGTCATCATTTTAAATAATTCCTGTCTCACACATATCGACCATGCATGGTGATGGTTGTGCAGACCGGAGAATGAACCTTGCCTACGTGAAGCTTCAGGTTTCTTTGTCATTCTATCAAACAGTCAGACCCTATATATTTGTTATATGCATGTGCACCATTATATATTACGCGAAGCTGTAGAATGTAACTCAAACAACAACTAAAATTCAGGAAGTTCGCCTTGAGTGTGTCTTCACAAAGCACCTGAATTATGCATTGATCTTCGCATAACAGTTGAATTTAATATATTCACCCGTGTGACTGCGGCTTTATAGACTTACTAGACTGGTTTTCGCATTGATTTAGTGTTTTTTTTCAATCGCTTTGTGGAGTCAATGAAAATAAAATGCTAAATCATTCATCTCACACAAAGCCTTTGTTACGTTGTGTGGGAATCAATCGGGTATGAAGCCTGTAGAGTACACGACTCTTCATTAGTTCAAGATAACGATAACTGTATAACGAAGGGGGGTAACTCATATCGGAGTGTAGTTTATCAGCTGTTTCGGGTAGTCACAAAAGCGGAAGTTATATATATAGTAACACAAGTCACGGGTCAAAGTGATCGAAAAGCCACGAAAACAAAACCGGTGTTGTTTGTTTATAGTGATGGACGCGGCTGATAAATATCAGTGATTGACATCTTCCGATTCTCCTTCGTTCAATCACTCAGCTCGTTAGTACAGATTGATAAATGCCCACACGACGCCAGTTTGCAGTGCAGGAGGCGCAGAAAGACATTGTGTGCTTCAAACTGCTGGGCACTGGACAATGACACCTGGTATTTTCAACGTCTGTTGTAATACAAGGAAGTGACAGATCCATGGGATTTATTGAGCATATGGAAATAACAGAGGTAAATACTCCTATAATAATGTCATATTTAATGTAGCCTAAGGTGATATGTTGTCACACTAATATTGTATACCACACTGGACTGGTGTTTAACATTGTTATTGTGTTTCCATGGTATAGGGCGGTGTAGTTTTAATGACTTCTATAGCATTGTTTCTAGTAAGATATATATAAACAGAGTGAAAGAGTGTATCCATGGTAAAAGATATGGAGTTTTTTATATTGTCTATGCGATTTTATGCTTTCTATTTTTACTGGTAAGATTGTCTTTAACACTCCAAAGGAAGTAAAATAAATATTATCTTTAACACTATATAAGAAGTAAAATAAATATTATGCATGAACTTCAGTCTTTAATGGTCCCTTTTTCATAGCTTTATGAACATTTTCAATGAACATAGCTGTGTACAGTATGGTGCTTCTTGTGCATGGTGTTCAGTTACTACCTGCAGTGCAAAGACTCCTTTGTCGTTCCTCTGTTAGAGAAGTGTGCACAGTGTGTGTATCAATGAGTGAGTGTTGCCCTACACTGTAGCCAGTACTACAGCTGTATCACCAAGACCACATGTCACATCACACAACACTGTAGCCAGTACTACAGCTGTATCACCAAGACCACATGTCACATCACACAACACTGTAGCCAGTACTACAGTCGTATCACCAATACCACATGTCACATCACACAACACTGTAGCCAGTACTACAGCTGTATCACCAATACCACATGTCACATCACACAACACTGTAGCCAGTACTACAGTCGTATCACCAAGACCACATGTCACATCACACAACACTGTAGCCAGTACTACAGTCGTATCACCAATACCACATGTCACATCACACAACACTGTAGCCAGTACTACAGTCGTATCACCAATACCACATGTCACATCACACAACACTGTAGCCAGTACTACAGCTGTATCACCAATACCACATGTCACATCACACAACACTGTAGCCAGTACTACAGCTGTATCACCAAGACCACATGTCACATCACACAATACTGTAGCCAGTACTACAGCTGTATCACCAAGACCACATGTCACATCACACAACACTGTAGCCAGTACTACAGCTGTATCACCAAGACCACATGTCACATCACACAACACTGTAGCCAGTACTACAGTCGTATCACCAATACCACATGTCACATCACACAACACTGTAGCCAGTACTACAGTCGTATCACCAATACCACATGTCACATCACACAACACAGTTGACCATACAGAATCAGATCATGATGACATCATGGATTAAGACAAGGACACTTAGTTCAATGTATTGTTGATGCATGAAAATATTGTTATTTTTCATTGACAAGATTGTTGCATGTGTTGAAATGGCTTAACAATGTCTGTCCCAAATGTAAAATTGTGTATTCTAATGAGTCATGTCAGTGTCAATCTGATCTAAGCATGTTCATTCTTCAGGACTGACGGAAGCATGGACGTCTTGGACCAGGACCAGTTCCAGTTTGAGGCCACCAATCACGGGGATGTACTGCTGGCAGGGCTGAGACACCTGCGAGACAAACATCAACTCTTTGATGTGACGCTGGTTGTGGACAAACTAGAGTTACCTGCCCATAGGGTGGTGTTGGCGTCATGCAGTGACTACTTTAGGTAGCAGTCCTACTGTATAATATAGTATTGTGTGTATTGCTCACTTGGTTTTCATGAGGAATACCTATGCATGATTCCAGTTCACTGTGCTCCTTCTGTGTGTGCCCCCTGTGTCTGCCTCTCATACGCTGGTGCTTTGGGTAGTCTGCCATCAAACTCTTGCAATGTCACATGGTGCAGTTAAAGATTATTGTCTGTATATACAGCTATAATTCCTGTGCTTTATGAGAGCCTACCTTCCAGATTCACCCCATTAATATCCTTGGGAAAAAAAATGAAAAACAACTTTGTTTTTTATTCCATGAAAAGCAAACTGATATGTTCACCACAAAAGCATTGTGGTTAAAATAGGTTGTGCGGCAAGACCACAGGTTATCATGGTTGTAAGTGGTTAACAACAAGAACAGCTCAGTAAACACTGCACATGTTCATATGACTTATTAAATGTCTTTCTTTTTTTGTCTATTTTTTCCTCACCTACCAACAAGGATTTATGAAAAATAGTCTTTAAACCAAGAATTGAAAAAATCATAAGTTATAAGTGTGGAAATCAATAATTGTTGACAAAGATGGCTAGATTTGTGCCACTCAGTTTTAAGTAAATTACCTTATATCAAAATTTGTTTAGTGTTTTTCAGTTTATCAATATCTCTGCCTATCAAACAGTTAATTTCTCTTCTGATTTGTGATGACACTTAATATCCTTTCTGGTGAGAATAACAGAGGACAACACAATACAGAGGACGTCCTGTAATCTTCCCATTAGTTGAATGGCACCCTTTTGCTGTTTCCAGGGCCATGTTCACCGATGGCCTAAAGGAGTGCAGACAGAAGCGGATTGTGTTGAATGGTGTCACTGCTCGGGGAATGAAGAATCTGCTGGATTTCGCTTACACATCAAAGAGTAACATTGATAGTGGTAGGTACTTTCAGGAAGTTTGGTCATTAATATCATCAAATCAGTGAAATAAGTGAACATATAGAAAGTTGATGAGGAATATGCTATGCATCTTGACTGCATCTTGTTTTAGGACCACTTCCGTAGTTTAGTGATAGAGTGTTCACCCAGAGAGCGGAAGGTCCCGGGTTTGATCCCTGGCTGTGTCATACCAAAAGATGTTAAAAGATGGTACTTGTTGTTCCCCTCCCTGGCATTCAGCATTAAGGGGCTAAAACAAGGATTGGTCGGCCCCGAATCAGTATACTGTGTCTGAATGGGGTATTCATGTTAAACTGTAACATGGTATCTCAGTAGCACTATAAAATCGGCATTAGTACAGACTAGTACAAGCAGCCACACACATACACACACACTTGCATGAAGGTCGCTATATGAGTGCAATAATCTTGGCGTGACATTAAATTCCATTTCACCTCACCTCTTGTATTAAGACCAGACCTGGGTCCATCAGCACGGAACAATCTTAGCGCTACTATTATTGTTAATCCTTAAGGTCACGATCTTAGGCTTTGTCTACAATCGCAATACTCTTGCACAAAGCATTTTGTAGCATTTCCCGATGATAAGCATTAATTCACAAGTAAAGATGAATGATAAAATGTAACCAAAAAGAAACCCCGTTAGCTTATCCTGAGAAACATATGATTAAAGTGAGCAGGCAGGTTTTGGTCAGGGCTGGCAAGTATTTCAGCTAGCCAGTCCTGTGGTCTGGCTGAAATTTTTTGGAGTTTCATACCCTGAACATACCTTTTCACTAAACAAGGGAAGGATAAAAACATAATTTTAGATTAGTAACTTCTGTGACCTTTAGGATTACTCAAGGGCAGATAATCTTAGTTTATACTCTAGATGGGAGTGGTTCCCCTTTACTGCCATAACCCAAACAGTAGAATCTACCTTGCCCATTGTATTTATAAAAGTAGTAGAATCGCTGAGCTCCGCCTGTATTTCTTTTGGGTCGTATTCATGTGAGTGATTTTGTCTTTTGTTTGTTTATCAAAATAATCTACAATTAAATACATGTTAAAGTGAAAAATCATACATATTTAAATCTTTGAGGCACGAACAGTTTTAATATATGATTCTTTTAATAATACAAGTATTCATCAAACAAGGAAATACATTTAATAAGACATTTGAAACTTGTGTATAAAATATCATTTAAATAGCAAAAATAATATTCACACTTTTTAAACATAAAGTTCTGTGTTATTATTACCCAATAATATATATATGTTAAAAAACTGCTTTCTCAAAATATTATTCATTATTCTCATTAGCCATCCATGCATTCTTGAAATCCCCCGTCTTTCTGTGTTTTGAATAGCTAGTCATAACATTGTTTGTTATAGCAGCTAAATGAAAACATGAAGGACATATTGAGGATTTTATGAATAGCTCCCCAAAATAGATAACAATGATACATTTACGTGTAATGTTATGAGGAAATATTATTATGGTATTTTTTAGTTTTCATAATAATTATGTCACTAAATCTGGAGCCGAATTTATGAATGTATTTATTTGTATTTTGATACTTTTAATAAAACATGAGAAGGTATTTCTCTAGATGCAATATTAAACTTACAATTCCTAAATCACAACAGTATTCAATGCAGAAAAGAAATATATGACATCATTCTACTAACCGTTTCCTTCAAATAATTTGGACCTTTCTTAAAACTCTGGAAGGTGCGATAGAGGGATGTACGTGTTGTGTGTTGTAACCAGTTCCACTAAATGCAGCAAGCTATGCGTGTTTGCAGACAACAGGAGACAGGAGTCGAGTTTAAGATATTCATACCTCCAACATTGAAGATTTTGATTTTAGCCTCTTAAATCCAAACCGTCTTACAATCGGGCTAAGATCAGTTTGTGCAAGTGGAAAATGACAATTGTATGATGCTTGTAAAGTTCATTGTAACCAAGATTGTTCTGTGAAAGTGAGCCCAGGTCTTTTGTTATGTTTACAGATTGTGTTTGTCTGTATACCAGAAGACAGACAGAATGAGAAAATGAAATATGGTTTCAGGGGTGTTTTTGTAAATTGTTTTAACAAAACGTATGGTACAAACAAATCATGTTAGCAATGGTTAAAAAAGCGCAGTTACAATTGAACACAGGAAAAAAGAATTGGTCTGGCATATTGGTCTTATTCAGGCAGCTCACCTGATATGTTTTGCAGCATCTATTCAGATATAGTTGTAGATATGTTTGTCATCTCTTGGGTTTCACTGATTATCACTCTGAATTTTCATATCAATATAATTGGAGTTCTTGCATCAATTGTTAATGTAGTTTTTGACCTTGTTTCAGACAATGTGGCTGACGTGCTGGGTGCGGCAACCCATGTCCAAATTCTGCCTGTGATTGATGCCTGTGAGGACTTCCTGCGGTCTCACCTGTCCCTTGACAACTGTGTGGACGTGGCCAGTGTGGCTGACCTGTACTGTCTGCAGCCCCTGCAGCAACATGTGCAGCAGTATATCTGCAAACACTGGACCACCTTCACGATGTCCACCTACTTCCACAGTATGGGTCAGCAGGCACTGGTCAATGTGCTGGCCTCAGGCTTCCCCGTCAACTGCTCCGAGCTGGAGGTCCTCCTGGCTGTCCTCAGTTGGGTCAAGTACTCTCCGGAGGAGAGACTGACCATGGCTGAGAATATCCTTGCACATGTTCAGTTCCATAACATCTCGGAGGAAAGCCTCAAGGATATGCTGGAGAAAAAGGAGTGGAAGGATATGATGCTTGCAGTACCCTGCTTGGAGAAGATGAACACAAGATTTCAGAAGGAGGCCAGGAATCATAGACTTGACATCTGTGATGGTACTTTAGGGCACAATGTCAGTAGAGAGGTTCATGGTATTACGAATATGCGGGGTTTCCATGAAACAGTATTGGTAGCTGGCGGGTTCAGCGCAGATTCAGGAATGACCAATAATATTTGGTATTATGAAGAAGAAAAGGATTTAGCTTCTTTGAAGTATTTAACCAGAATACCTCATGTAGACCAGTGCAACTTTGGCATGGCTGTTCTCCACAACCAGCTGTATGTGATTGGTGGATGTTTTAACGATCAGTTTGATGAAGTTATTCATCCATATGGCTTCCGTTATGACCCTTCCAAGAGTGAGTGGGACAGCATTACTCCCATGAATCATGAACGATGCCGATTTTATCTTGGGGTGACAGAAGGCTATCTTTATGCAATAGGGGGTGACCCACAAGCATCTGATCTCACACTTGATGGAGCCCCCTGTGAACGATATGACCCAAAATCTAATTCCTGGCAGGATATTGAGCCAGTGCCCGGCAACCGGACCCAGCATGCAGGCGTTGCTGCAGGACAGTTCTTGTATGTGTCCGGAGGTCAGCAGGAGACTGATGGGGAAATACTGAATGACCTCCTGCGGTACGACACCCACAGTAATACCTGGGAGAGGTGTGCTTCATTACGGTCTCCACGTGTTGATCACACCATGTTCTTCTTCAATGGTCAAGTATATATAATTGGAGGTTGGACCTATGACCAAACAAACCACCAAAGAGAGATGGTGTCTTCCATTGACTGTTACCACTCGGACACGGACTCCTGGCAACAAGTGGCAACTCTCAATGAAACACGTCTCTATGCAACATACACTCTTTTTGACAGCGTAATCTATGTCATTGGGGGATGGCAAGGGGGAGATTACCGCTTCAAAAGTAGGTTTGTGGACTGTTTGGATCTGAAGACAAGACAATGGAAGGACAAGAAGAATCAGTCCCTAGAGATGTGGGAGCACAACTCCTGCAGCCTGTACCTGCCTAAACTGGTAAAACCCTGACCCTGTAATCCTGGTCTCACCCAGCAGACTGTACCTGCCTAAACTGGTACAACCCTGACCCTGTTATCCTGGTCTCACCCAGCAGACTGTACCTGCCTAAACTGGCACAACCCTGACCCTGTAATCCTGGTCTCACCCAGGAGACTGTACATGCCTAAACTGGCACAACCCTGGCTCTGTAATCCTGGTCTCCCCCAGCAGACTATACCTGCCTAAACTGGCACAACCCTGATCCTGTAATCCTGGTCTCACCCAGCACACTGTACCTGCCTAAACGGATACAACCCTGAACCTGTACCTTACTCCTGGTCTCACCCAGGAGACTGTACCTGCCTAAAATGGCACAACCCTGACCCTGTAATCCTGGTCCTACCCAGCAGACTGTACCTGCCTAAACTGGCACAACCCTGACCCTGTAATCCTGGTCCTACCCAGCAGACTGTACCTACCTAAACTGGCACAACCCTGACCCTGTAATCCTGGTCTCACCCAGCAGACTGTACATGCCTAAACTGGTACAACCCTGATCCTATAATCCTGGTCTCACCCAGCAGACTGTACCTGCCTAAACTGGTACAACCCTGACCCTATAATCCTGGTCTCACCCAGCAGACTGTACCTGCCTAAACTGGTACAACCCTGACCCTGTAACTTACTCCTGGTCTCACCCAGCAGACTGTACCTGCCTAAACTGGCAAAACCCTGACCCTGTAATCCTGGTCTCACCCAGCAGGCTGTACCTGCCTAAACTGGCACAACCCTGACCCTGTAATCCTGGTCTCACCCAGCAGACTGTACATGCCTAAACTGGTACAACCCTGATCCTATAATCCTGGTCTCACCCAGCAGACTGTACCTGCCTAAACTGGTACAACCCTGACCCTGTAACTTACTCCTGGTCTCACCCAGCAGACTGTACCTGCCTAAACTGGCAAAACCCTGACCCTGTAATCCTGGTCTCACCCAGCAGGCTGTACCTGCCTAAACTGGCACAACCCTGACCCTGTAATCCTGGTCTCACCCAGCAGACTGTACCTGCCTAAACTGGTACAACCCTGACCCTGGAACTTACTCCTGGTCTCACCCAGCAGACTGTACCTGCCTAAACTGGCAAAACCCTGACCCTGTAATCCTGGTCTCACCCAGCAGGCTGTACCTGCCTAAACTGGTACAACCCTGACCCTGTAACTTACTCCTGGTCTCACCCAGCAGACTGTACCTGCCTAAACTGGCAAAACCCTGACCCTGTAATCCTGGTCTCCCCCAGCAGACTACCTACCTAAACTGGCACAACCCTGACCCTGTAATCCTGGTCTCACCCAGCAGACTGTACATGCCTAAACTGGTACAACCCTGATCCTATAATCCTGGTCTCACCCAGCAGACTGTACCTGCCTAAACTGGTACAACCCTGACCCTATAATCCTGGTCTCACCCAGCAGACTGTACCTGCCTAAACTGGTACAACCCTGACCCTGTAACTTACTCCTGGTCTCACCCAGCAGACTGTACCTGCCTAAACTGGCAAAACCCTGACCCTGTAATCCTGGTCTCACCCAGCAGGCTGTACCTGCCTAAACTGGTACAATCCTGACCCTGTAATCCTGGTCTTACCCAGCAGACTGTACCTGCCTAAACTGGCACAACCCTGACCCTGTAATCCTGGTCCTACCCAGCAGACTGTACCTGCCTAAACTGGCACAACCCTGGCTCTGTAATCCTGGTCTCCCCCAGCAGACTGTACCTGCCTAAACTGGCACAACCCTGACCCTGTAATCCTGGTCTCACCCAGCAGGCTGTACCTGCCTAAACTGGCACAACCCTGACCCTGTAATCCTGGTCTCACCCAGCAGACTGTACCTGCCTAAACTGGCACAACCCTGACCCTGTAATCCTGGTCTCACCCAGCAGACTGTACCTGCCTAAACTGGTACAACCCTGACCCTGTAACTTACTCCTGGTCTCACCCAGCAGACTGTACCTGCCTAAACTGGCAAAACCCTGACCCTGTAATCCTGGTCTCACCCAGCAGGCTGTACCTGCCTAAACTGGTACAATCCTGACCCTGTAATCCTGGTCTTACCCAGCAGACTGTACCTGCCTAAACTGGCACAACCCTGACCCTGTAATCCTGGTCCTACCCAGCAGACTGTACCTGCCTAAACTGGCACAACCCTGGCTCTGTAATCCTGGTCTCCCCCAGCAGACTGTACCTGCCTAAACTGGCACAACCCTGACCCTGTAATCCTGGTCTCACCCAGCAGGCTGTACCTGCCTAAACTGGTACAATCCTGACACTGTAATCCTGGTCTCCCCCAGCAGACTATACCTGCCTAAACTGGTACAACCCTGACCCTGTAAAATGGTCTCACCCAGCAGACTGTACCTGCCTAAACTGGCACAACCATGACCCTGTAACTTACTCCTGGTCTCACCCAGCAGACTGTACCTGCCTAAACTGGCACAACCCTGACCCTGTAATCCTGGTCTCACCCAGAAGACTGTACCTGCCTAAACTGGCACAACCCTGACCCTGTTACTTACTCCTGGTCTCACCCAGCAGACTGTACCTGCCTAAACTGGCACAACCCCGACCCTGTAAAATGGTCTCACCCAGCAGACTGTACCTGCCTAAACTGGCACAACCCTGACCCTGTAACTTACTCCTGGTCTCACCCAGCACTGTGGCACTAGACAATCCTGTGTATTCACAAGCATGATGATGATGATGTAGTGTTGTTACTGTTTGTTTATTGTTTGAGTGGTTATGTTGTAATTTATACCTTCATTGTTCTATTATGCTACTTAGTGTTCTCTTCATGAAGTGTTCTGCAGTAATGTTCATGGATGACTTGTCTCATTGCCTCTCATTATGGCCCAGTAATTGTTTGTCTCCAGTCCTCTTCCTTTTACCTCATTTGACTGTATGCACGGACATGTAGGACAGCATGCAAGGATACATAGGGCTGCACGCATGAAGACATTTAACTGCATGCTTGATCACATGGGCCTGCATGCTTGGTCACATGGGTCTGCATGCTTGATCACATGGGTCTGCATGCTTGATCACATTGGTCTGCATGCTTGATTACATGGGTCTGCATGCTTGGTCACATGGGTCTGCATGCTTGATCACATGGGTCTGCATGCTTGGTCACATGGGTCCGCATGCTTGATCACATGGGTCTGCATGCTTGGTCACATGGGTCTGCATGCTTGATCACATTGGTCTGCATGCTTGATCACATGGGTCTGCATGCTTGATCACATGGGTCTGCATGCTTGATCACATTGGTCTGCATGATGAGTCTGCATGCTTGATCACATGGGTCTGCATGATGAGTCTGCATGCTTGTCACATTGGTCTGCATGCTTGATCACATTGGTCTGCTTGCTTGGTCACATGGGTCTGCATGCTTGGTCACATGAGTCTGCATTCTTGGTCACATGGGTCTGCATGCTTGATCACATAGGTCTGCATGCTTGGTCACATGGGTCCTCATGCCTGATCATATGGGTCTGCATGCTTGATCATATGGGTCTGCATGCTTGGTCACATGAGTCTGCATGCTTGGCCACATAGGTCTGCATGCTTGATCACATTGGTCTGCATGATGAGTCTGCATGCTTGATCACATGGGTCTGCATGATGAGTCTGCATGCTTGTCACATTGGTCTGCATGCTTGATCACATTGGTCTGCTTGCTTGGTCACATGGGTCTGCATGCTTGGTCACATGAGTCTGCATTCTTGGTCACATGGGTCTGCATGCTATGTCACATGTGTCTGCATGCTTGATCACATGGGTCTGCATGCTTGGTCATATGGGTCCTCATGCCTGATCATATGGGTCTGCATGCTTGATCATATGGGCCTGCATGCTTGGTCACATGAGTCTGCATGCTTGGCCACATGGGTCTGCATGCTTGATCACATGGGTCTGCATGCTTTGTCACATGGGTCTGCATGCTTGATCACATGGGTCTGCATGCTTGGTCACATGGGTCTGCATGCTTGGTCACATGAGTCTGCATGCTTGATCATATGGGTCTGCATGCTTTGTCACATGGGTCTGCATGCTTGGCCACATCGGTCTGCATGCTTGATCACATGGGTCTGCATGCTTGGTCACATGTGTCTGCATGCTTGATCACATGGGTCTGCATGCTTGATCATATGGGTCTGTATGCTTGGTCACATGAGTCTGCATGCTTGGTCACATGGGCCTGCATGCTTGCTCATATGGGTCTGCATGCTTGATCATATGGGTCTGCATGCTTGATCACATGGGTCTGCATGCTTGATCATATGGGTGTGCATGCTTGCTCATATGGGTCTGCATGCTTGGTCACATGGGTCTGCATGCTTGGTCACATGGGTCTGCATGCTTGGTCATATGGGTCTGCATGCTTGATCACATGGGTCTGCATGCTTGTCACATGGGTCTGCATGCATGGACAGACTGCCTGCAGGAACCAGTCTCAGTTTTTATACACACATTTTAGTGTTCTTTTTTTATAAATGATTATAAGATTGATATCATTTTTAATCTTAACACATTATTTGATAAGAACATTTTATCCAACCCTTTGTTTTAAATAACATTTATTTGTTAAATCTTCTAAGTTAAGCTTTCATTATTTGATTTGGCTTAAGCATGTTGGTTGGTTGAGCAGTGAAGATAGTTTATCAGATGACCGACACAGTTGCCTCCCTGTGTGTGACTTGGTTGTTGTACCTCATCTATGTCTGCTTGGTCAAGGACATCAAATGTACACCATATTTATTTTCATTATGCATAATATCAGATATCGATGGATCTTTAACTGAAGCAGCATCCTGACATAGTCCTACTACAAGTTATTATGTGTACAGAAGCTTCTATATATTTGTAGCCTGTTTATATAGGATAGTCTCATTGTTGCTTTACAAACAGATTGGTGCTGTGTAAGGGTTCCCATATTGTCCGCAAATATATATGCTAATAAGGGCAACAAAATAGAATTTCACACAATTTTGCAAATAATTTAGATGGGTGAATTTTACTTATTGTTTTTGTTTTTTAATGAAATGTTTTAGGTAAATGTGTATATATGACTGTTGGCTGATGTGCAGCACATCTTGCCAAGTTAAGTTCGAACAGACACGGAATGGCAAGTGTTAATCAGCAACTCTTACAGAATGGTCAACTTTATAAGTTGCCAATTTGTCACAGTATCCTGCTCATTGCTGATTGTTGTGACACATGTCTGTGGTGGTATTCAAAAGGTAACAACTAAGGCAACACAAACAGTGCTCTTCTTCATCTGTAGGTACTTTGGGACAATTAGTTCATGGGAAGTAGGGTGTTTTCGTGGTGAGATGTATCAATAAGTTACTTTTGGCTCTGCAGACAATTCAAGACAATAATGTTTGGTAAATTTTGTAAATACAAGGCAGAGTTTGTGTTGGGAGTACAGCGGGTGTATTTCTTTCTTCATTACCACACGATAACAGAACAATGTCCATTCAATCCTTGTGTTGTTGAGGCCTATATTTGTTGATACCTTAATGACTATCTATATGTTTTCAAGTACATATTTGCTCCGCTATGAGGGTTTTGTAACTTTTATGTTCATGATGTCAAATCTAAATTGGTTTTACAACTAAAAGTGTTATGGGTTAGACCCAGTTAGGAAGTTCTTGGCACATTGTCTAAACTGTATTATCAGTGAGATAGCTGGCCATGCTATCTCTTTTGTTAGTTAAATACAAGATTTCACACTATTTTATCACAATAACTTGATCCCTGAATGAGTAAGGCTGACATCTGACCACTGTTTCCCAGGTTTGGACTGCTATAGTCAGTAGCAAGTGGAGAAGCTGATAGTGCTTGTTACCACAGACGTTCATAATGTAGACATTGAATTTACTCATTCATTCTTGACGTCCAGTTTATGGTCAATCATATTTTGAGGGTTCCTTGCTCTGTTATTGTCGATGATGGATCATTTCCTTGTTATATGGCTGAAACAATGGGACCGTAGGACATCTTCCTGTAAAAAATCTCAAATAGGGTATCCGAACAATCACTACGCATTGGCCCCTGGGTCCGGTTAAACTTTATCAATGACTTAACTTAACTTGACTTCGTTACATAAAACTAACATTAAACATAGTGTGTTCCCTTTACAGTAGGTAATACCGGTATATCATTGTTAGTTAATTGCATGTTTAATACAATAGTATAGCATGTCTGTTGTACTTGTATTGCTATGTCAGTTTTCAGTGTGGTGACATCATGACTTTGTAACCCATGTATCTCTAGTAACCAGAGGAACTAGCTGGTTTCAGCACCAACATTCTTGTGACATAGCGTTGTTTTGCTTCTCAGGAATCTGTACATGACATCTCACTGACTGTGTTCATCTTCCATTGAAATCCTTTTACAGCTATTTTCATTAAAATATATTCTCATATGTTTGTCTTTTATTATTTTTCGGCTCACTATGACAAGTGACTCTCAGCTAATGTCATGGGTTTTCATCTATCGGTCAATCTCTCCTTCAATCTATAACCTTCCCACAAAAATCTCTTCTTACAAAAGTAAGTCGTATGAATAAAATATTTGCATACATTTTTTATATGTCCCTAGCTGTAAACAAGAAGTGATTTCCTTTTTAAAAACATAAAATATTACAGATAACATCCAAAGTCGTCTCTCATCTACCCATATTTATCCCAGAGACAACCCCGTAGTGTCCTACACACCCACGGACTAACACATCTCACATCTACCTGTACATATCCCAGAGACAACCATGTAGTGTCCTACACACCCATGGACTAACACATCTCTCATCTTACTGTATTTATCCCAGAGACAACCATGTAGTGTCCTACACACCCATGGACTAACACATCTCTCATCTACCTGTACATGTCCCAGAGACAACCCCGTAGTGTCCTACACACCCACGGACTAACACATCTCTCATCTTACTGTATTTATCCTAGAGACAACCCCACAGTGTCCTACTCACCAACAGAGTAACACATCTCTCATCTTACTGTATTTATCCCAGAGACAACCCCGTAGTGTCCTACACACCCACGGACTAACACATCTCTCATCTACCTGTACATATCCCAGAGACAACCCCGTAGTGTCCTACACACCCACAGACTAACACATCTCTCATCTACCTGTACATATCCCAGAGACAACCATGTAGTGTCCTATACACCCACAGACTAACACATCTCATCTACCTGTACATATCCCAGAGACAACCCCGTGGTGTCCTACACACCCACGGACTAACACATCTCTCATCTTACTGTACATATCCCAGAGACAGCCATGTAGTGTCCTACACACCCACGGACTAACACATCTCACATCTACCTGTACATATCCCAGAGACAACCCTGTAGTGTCCTACACACCCACGGACTAACACATCTCACATCTACCTGTACATATCCCAGAGACAGCCATGTAGTGTCCTACACACCCACGGACTAACACATCTCATCTACCTGTACATATCCCAGAGACAGCCATGTAGTGTCCTACACACCCACGGACTAACACATCTCACATCTACCTGTACATATCCCAGAGACAACCCCGTAGTGTCCTACACACCCACAGACTAACACATCTCATCTACCTGTACATATCCCAGAGACAGCCATGTAGTGTCCTACACACCCACGGACTAACACATCTCACATCTACCTGTACATATCCCAGAGACAACCCCGTAGTGTCCTACACACCCACAGACTAACACATCTCACATCTACCTGTACATATCCCAGAGACAACCATGTAGTGTCCTATACACCCACAGACTAACACATCTCATCTACCTGTACATATCCCAGAGACAACCCCGTGGTGTCCTACACACCCACGGACTAACACATCTCTCATCTACCTGTATATATCCCAGAGACAACCCTGTAGTGTCCAATATGCCCACAGACTGACACATCTCACATCTACCTGTATTTATCTCAGAGACAACCCCGTAGTGTCCTACACACCCACGGACTAACACATCTCTCATCTAACTGTATTTATCCTAGAGACAACCCCACATTGTCCTACATGCCCACATACCGACACAGCTTTCATCTACCTGTATATATCCCAGAGACAACCCTGTAGTGTCCAATATGCCCACAGACTGACACATCTCACATCTACCTGTATTTATCTCAGAGACAACCCCGTAGTGTCCTACACACCCACGGACTAACACATCTCTCATCTAACTGTATTTATCCTAGAGACAACCCCACATTGTCCTACATGCCCACATACCGACACAGCTTTCATCTACCTGTATATATCCCAGAGACAACCCTGTAGTGTCCAATATGCCCACAGACTGACACATCTCACATCTACCTGTATTTATCTCAGAGACAACCCCGTAGTGTCCTACACACCCACGGACTAACACATCTCTCATCTACCTGTATTTATCTCAGAGACAACCCTGTAGTGTCCAACATGCCCACAGACTGACACATCTCACATCTACCTGTACATATCCCAGAGACAACCCCGTAGTGTCCTACTCACCCACGGACTAACACATCTCTCATCTATATGTATTTATCCTAGAGACAACCCCACAGTGTCCTACATGCCCACATACCGACACAGCTTTCATCTACCTGTATATATCCCAGAGACAACCCTGTAGTGTCCAACATGCCCACAGACTGACACATCTCACATCTACCTGTACATATCCCAGAGACAACCCCGTAGTGTCCTACACACCCACGGACTAACACATCTCTCATCTACCTGTACATATCCCAGAGACAACCATGTAGTGTCCTACACACCCACGGACCAACACATCTCATCTACCTGTACATGTCCCAGAGACAACCCCACAGTGTCCTACTCACCCACGGACTAACACATCTCTCATCTAACTGTATTTATCCCAGAGACAACCCCACAGTGTCCTACTCACCCACAGAGTAACACATCTCTCATCTAACTGTATTTATCCTAGAGACAACCCCACATTGTCCTACATGCCCACATACCGACACAGCTTTCATCTACCTGTATATATCCCAGAGACAACCCTGTAGTGTCCAACATGCCCACAGACTGACACATCTCACATCTACCTGTATTTATCTCAGAGACAACCCCGTAGTGTCCTACACACCCACAGACTGACATTTCGCTTGTATGGAGGATAGAGCGGCAGTAGTACAGCTTGTAAGGAGGGTGGAGAGTCAGTAATACTGCATGTATGGTTGGTGGAGGGTCAGTAATACTGCATGTATGGTTGGTGGAGGGTGGAGGGTCAGTAATACTGCATGTATGGTTGGTGGAGGGTGGAGGGTCAGTAATACGGCATGTATGGTTGGTGGAGGGTGGAGGGTCAGTAATACGGCATGTATGGTTGGTGGAGGTTGGAGGGTCAGTAATACGGCATGTATGGTTGGTGGAGGTTGGAGGGTCAGTAATACGGCATGTATGGTTGGTGGAGGTTGGAGGGTCAGTAATACGGCATGTATGGTGGGTGGAGCGTCAGTAGTACAGCTTGTATGGTGGGTGGAGCGGCAGTAGTACAGCAAATATGGTTGTAAAAGCGTCAGTAGTACAGCCTGTATGGTGGGTTGAGCGTCAGTAGTACAGCCTGAATGGTGGGTTGAGCGTCAGTAGTACAGCCTGAATGGTGGGTTGAGCGTCAGTAGTACAGCCTGAATGGTGGGTTGAGCGTCAGTAGTACAGCCTGAATGGTGGGTGGAGCGTCAGTAGTACAGCCTGTATGGTGGGTGGAGCGGCAGTAGTACAGCAATTATGGTTGTAAGAGCGTCAGTAGTACAGCCTGTATGGTGGGTTGAGCGTCAGTAGTGCAGCTTGTATGGAGGGTTGAGCGTCAGTAGTACAGCAATTATGGTGGTAAGAGCGTCAGTAGTACAGCCTGTATGGTGGGTTGAGCGTCAGTAGTACAGCCTGAATGGTGGGTTGAGCGTCAGTAGTACAGCCTGTATGGAGGGTAGAGCGGAAGTATTACAGCCTGTATGGTGGGTTGAGCGTCAGTAGTACAGCCTGTATGGAGGGTAGAGCGGAAGTATTACAGCTTGTATGGTGGGTTGAGCGTCAGTAGTTCAGCCTGTATGGTGGGTGGAGCGTCAGTAGTACAGCCTGTATGGTGGGTTGAGCGTCAGTAGTACAGCTTGTGTGGAGGGTTGAGCGTCAGTAGTACAGCCTGTATGGAGGGTTGAGCGTCAGTAGTACAGCCTGTATGGAGGGTTGAGCGTCAGTAGTACAGCCTATATGGTGGGTTGAGCGTCAGTAGTACAGCCTGTATGGTGGGTTGAGCGTCAGCATTACAGCCTGTATGGTGGGTGGAGCGTCAGTAATACAGCCTGTATGGTGGGTTGAGCGTCAGTAGTACAGCCTGTATGGTGGGTTGAGCGTCAGTAATACAGCTTGTATGGTGGGTTGAGCGTCAGTAGTACAGCTTGTATGGAGGGTGGAGCGTCAGTAATACAGCCTGTATGGTGGGTTGAGCGTCAGTAGTACAGCTTGTATGGTGGGTTGAGCGTCAGTAGTACAGCCTGTATGGTGGGTTGAGCGTCAGTAGTACAGCTTGTATGGAGGGCGGAGCGTCAGTAATACAGCTTGTATGAAGGGTAGAGCGGAAGTAGTACAGCTTGTATGGTTGGTTGAGCCTCCGTAGTACACCTTGTGTGGAGCAGGACTATTACAGCTTGTATGGAGGGTGGAGCAGCAGTATTACAGCTTGCATGAAGGGTAGAGCGGAAGTAGTACAGCAATTATGGTGGTAAGAGCGTCAGTAGTAAGGTATGTATGGAGGGTGGAGCGTCAGTAGTACAGCTTGTATGGAGGGTGGTGCGTCAGTAGTACGTCATGTATAGAGGGTAGAACGTCAGTAGTAAGGCATGTATGGTGGGTGGAACGTCAGTAGTACAGCATGTATGGTGGGTGGAGCGTCAGTAGTAAGGCATGTATGGAGGGTGAAACGTCAGTAGTAAGGCATGTATGGTGGGTGGAGCGTCAGAAGTACATCATGTATGGAGGGTCGAGCGTCAGTAGTACAGCATGTTCAGCGGGTGGAGCGTCAGTAGTACAGCATGTATGGTGGGTGGCGCATCCGTAGTATGGCATGTGTGGAGGATAGAGCGTCATTAGTATGACATTTGTGGTGGGTGGAGCGTCAGTAGTATGGCGTGCATGGTGGGTGGAGCATCAGTAGTTTGACATTTATGGTGGATGGAGCGTCAGTAGTACGGCATGTATGGTGGGTGGAGCGTCAATAGTACGGCGTGTATGGAGGGTGGAGGGTCAATAATACGGCATGTATGGAGGGTAGAAGTATAGGTAATGGTGATTCTGGACCACTTCCACTGGAGCCAGATTTATATACCTATACTGCTACTACAGAGGGAAATTTTTATGCAA